AATGTGATCTTTGTAATATTTATTTCCTTTTTTAGAAAGTTTTAAACCTATTTGAAACTTTAAAAATTATGCTCTAGCAATGTTTTGCAAAAATATTTGTTTTGTATGTTATATATGACATACTTATTGTAATGTCAAATATTGGCATTACAATGTATCTTTTTGTTATATTGTTACTATGAATGGGATACTTATTTTATTAATACTTATTTTTAGCATATAGGAATCTTAATATAGTTATTTTTTATTATTGTACAGACAATAATATTCTATACTGATGATGTTTTTGCTTCTCCTTTCCAATATTCATAGCCCAGTCATTTTTCTTATTGAGTTGCATTAGCTGGAAATTCCAGAAAAATGCCAAGTGGTCATAATAGCCAGTATCCTTATTATTGTTATCCTGACTCTAGAGGTAATGTTCCTAGAGTTTTATGAACAATGGTCTTGATTGTTGTTTCCAGAGTAATTCTTTTTTTTGGTTACAAAGTATCTTTATATTCAAGTTTATTAAGAACATTTATTAGACTTATATTGAGGGTTACCAGATTCCTTTTCTGTTGTTATTATGATAATACTGGGTTCTTCTCTAGTCTATTGGCAGTTTGTTTATTGATTTCTCAATATTACCTATCCCAATATTCTTGGAATAAAGACCTATAAAGTATATTTAAAACAATTGGAGTTGATGATGATGATATTACTAAGTGACCACAGACAAGAGAGAACAAAGTAACCTTAGAAGCTCAACTAAACATTCTTCTTTGTATTAGAAACAACTATACTTTAAACTTGAATCTGTATTTTTTTTTTCAGGTCAGGATTATCAGGCCTGTGACCTCATATGTAGCCAGTCACTCTACCACTGAGCTAACTCTCTAGCCCCTAAACTTACTACTTTTAATAGAAAATTGTTTGGTGATTAATTGATATAATTTCAAGCCTAAGTCCAGTTTTAAGTTGTTACCTGAACTTTTCTTTATGATTTGAATATCCAGCAAAAACAAATTTCCCCACCTCTGTAAACCTCCAACCTTAACCTTGGTATGCAGGTAGAACAGAAATGGATTATATTCATCTACTGCAACTTTGAGCTCTGGTCTGGAAAGTCCTGTGAGAGACTAGGTATTTCTCCCAGGAAGTATTTTTAAGGCTTCCAAGTTTTCCCTGGGAGGCTGGTCTAAGTTGAGACCTAGTATTATTTCCACCAGGAATGCAATCACTTGAATCACTTTCTTACCTGATCCCTCTACCCAAATGGTCTTCTGAACTCACAGTGTTCAGAGCTGCATGCCTCTGCACAGAAAACATCCACAATTCTGGCAAGGTGTGGACCAGGACAATCACCCAAGGAATCTTTGATCTCTGCCTTGGGACTTCACAGATACAGATCATATAATCAGAGATGTTAATACTGGAGGGCACCTTCAAGACCAGCTTACTCCACCTCTCAGTTTATTAGTGAGAAAAAATGTCTAGAGAAGGGAAGTGACTAAGGTGACAGTGTAGCCACTATGCTGGGATATGAACTTGAGTTTCATGACCCTGAATTCAATATTCATTTCACCATCACACTGGCTTAAGCATTGATATAACATTGATATCAGACTTCTTCTATTATCTAAGTGAACCATTAAGTGGATTCCATCTTGACTTGTATCTGATAAAAAGTAATAAAATATTTTATTAAGTATTCCAATAATTTGGCATTCTCCTCATTACACACAAGCCTCAGTTTGCTTGTAAATTTCATGATTTGGCAAATCAGAACACTTCTTGTGTTTATGAAAATAGTCTGAGAAATAGAATACATGCAACTTTCATGTACCAATGTATAGGACTATGTTTTCCTAGTGGTGATCTTTGGAAAAGACCACACTTCATAGATTAAGCTAGGTATCAGTTACCATTTTTTTTTTCCAAATTAAAAAAAAAATCAGGTGATACCTGTAAATGGTTCCATTGTAAATATCAGAGAACATGCTGCATAAGACAGATTAGACAACAGTGTAGAAGGGAGGGAGCTTCAACATGCTGATTTTATACTTGAATGGTAGCAGATCTATGTTGTGGTGAGGTTCATATTGGTTTGCTATTTGCACAAAGTCTTATAATTTTTTTTCAGTAAAATCAACCTATTTTATTGTATGAGCATATGCTTCCCAGAGCTATACTACTAATGTCTTTGTGAAATAGCCACTTGTTTAAAGATGAGTATGGCCTCTTTTGGTTGAGGCAAGATGACAGTTAATTCAGAGGTAACAGTATGTAAGATAAGCATCCCATCCAGATTGATGTGAATTTTAATTATTTTATTATAAGTTGCAATAAAATACTAATTCAGCAAATAAATCTCTTGAAGGAGAGTTGACAAGGTATGGAAAAATATAATGGAGATCCACTGGCAGAGAATTCCATTCAAGTTACTCAATAGGAAATAATCTTATGCAAGCCTATACATTTCTAACTTGAAAAGTTCTGTGTTACAGTTCATTGCTAAATCATCTGTTTTCTTAGAATGGTCTTTTTAGCATTCCATAGACAGGAGCTACTCCTTAGAAATGTTTACATATATAGTTTTTAACAGGTCTCTCTCTCTCTCTCTCTCTCATATCCTATCCCTTTCAAATGGATCCTGGGAAAGGGAGAAAGTATTTATGATAAATATGATATAAGTAGTTGATTTCATAGGAAACAGTAAAGAATCATACCCCTCTAGTTATTGTCTCACAGTGAACAAGAATTCTGCTTTATTGTGTATTTATGGAAAGCATAATTGATTCTTGCTCTCTGCTTCATGACCTCATAAGATTTCTTCTAACGTGAGTAGCACCTACAACTCAAAAGAGCTCGTTAGCCAAGTGTAAACCCACTAATAATGGAGTAATGAACCAAAATTTGTCTATGAAAGACATTTGTCTATGAAAGACAATATAATCTAGAAAATTCTGGGACAAAATACTGATTTAAAAATAATTTTGAGGATGAAATATTGTCATCATAAGTACAGTAGGAAAAGTTATATTTGCAGTGCAGATACACTGATACATGTAATTTTAAATTCAAGATATTTCCTAAGTGTGCATTTTCCCAACTTTAGGATGATTTTGAAATAAAACCATCTGGTCTAGAGAAAGTTGGGCATGTACATTTGGAACTTTATATGAATAGCCATTGCAGTGCTGGCACTGATCTTAATAGCTGAAGAGTAGAAACAGCACAATGACTCCAGTATAGACAACGGCAAATAACCAGATTTATTCATAGGATGACACTTATAATACATGAGTTACCTATACAAATATCATTGAAGACACAATGAAACCACAGCATTAAGTAAGAAAAAATTGCAAAAAGTATAGTATGATTTACATAAAATTTAAAATCTCAAAAATAATTCTACGTATATATTTTTAAAGTGCATAGTTAGGCAATAAAAGTATGGAACATGCATAAAGTGAGACACTAGCAGTAATTCGGGCAACTGTTTATTTTTTCAAAAACAACTTTCCTTTGGTGGATATGGCTAACTCAGTATGTTAGATCTAGGTAGGAGGTAAGCAATTTTCTTTTCAGAACCTGTCTGTTCTGCTGTAACTCAAACTCACTAAAAATATTGTCAAGTGAGAGGAACGAATTATAATAATTCATGCTTATGATTACTTCTGAAGCTTTTTTTAACAGCTTTGAATACTTTGTTTATACAGTTATGAAATGAAGTAGTATGTACACAAAGCCAGTGGTCAGTCAATGACAGCTCGTTATGTAGGTTACGATTTCCTGTGGGGATAAAGTTGATGATGAAAACATGGTAATCTACTGAGAATGAGAGAGCTGGTGGTAATGGGCACTTGAGGTTTAGAAAAGGATGTAGAGATGAAAAAAAAGAAAAGGGCTGAGAGAGTAAGGTTGAGCAACACTCAGGTGGGGAGGCAGCCAGGCTTGGAAATCTACATCTGAAATGGAACCAGTTAGCATAACATCATCTACTTACATGATTTAGCTGTAGATCTCCCTTTCAGTAAGTCATTGTTAGATAAAATGGGAGATTATATATCTTTCCCACTTGAAGGCTATATTTCAAGATGGGTAATAATTAGACCTCCTGGGTTCAATCTATTCCCATATATTCAGAAGTGGTAATGAATTTGATGGACAATTTGATTTAGTAGTCACTTGAGAACCTTTGAGGAATTGTTGGGCTGTTGGAAACTGCTAGGCTTGAAGGACCTTCTAGGTTAATTCTTTTTGATCTCACCTTTTCTCTAGTTCCTGGTCCCCTTTTCCTATTGGCCTCAGTTGCTTTAAGGTATCTGCTTTTGTTTCTCTGCGTTGAGGGCAACAAATGCTAGCTAGTTTTTTAGGTGTCTTACCTATCCTCACCCCTCCCTTGTGTGCTCTCGCTTTTATCATGTAGGACCTGGCTAACTTTAAACAGTACTGGTGACAGTACTGCTCTTCTTGTTGCCTGCTCCACTTTGTGGTAGCTGCCTTGAGCAGCTATGTTCATTCTGAAAAAAAAATGCCATTGCTCAAAAACACTTGTAGTTTCTACTTTGAAATTACTTCATTTGGTCATTTAGTCTTTAAGGCCTCTGTTTGTTCATTTGCAAAATGAAAATAATAATGCCTTCTCTGATTCCAAAAGTTGTCATGAAATCAAGTGGGAAATGTTTTAGAAACTGTTTAGTGCCTTTCAGGTGTTACTAATTAACAAATCACTTCAGAAAGCACACATTTACTTTATGGTCACTATTCACTTACTTTTTAGCAAATACCTTATGCATACACTTGTCTCCAAATTAGTTTTGCTATAAACCAAAAATCAAATCTTAGTTTAAAGTATCCAGATAAAAATAGTGTCAGGAGTTTCACAGATGGATTGACCTTGTATAAGCCCATTGTAACTCCTTCTCTAAAGATGAAACGTCTTGTGTTGAAATTGTGAGCATTCCAAATCAGGGAAATGAAATTGAATTTCTGTTTTTCCCCTTCTGCAGGAAGTCACCAAAGCAGTACAGCCTCTCTTACTGGGAAGAATCATAGCTTCCTATGATCCAGATAACCAGGCTGAACGCTCCATCGCCATCTACCTAGCCATAGGCTTATGCCTGCTTTTCATTGTGAGGACACTGCTCCTACATCCAGCCATTTTTGGCCTTCATCACATTGGAATGCAGATGAGAATAGCTATGTTCAGTTTGATTTATAAAAAGGTAATACTTTTTTTTTTTTTTTTGCAGTGCTGGAGATTAAACCCAGAGCCTTGCATATGATAGGCAAACACTATCACTGAGCTAGCTTGCACAGTCCCCAGGTATTCTGTATGGCACACATTTAAACGCCTTGAATTAGATAGTGTGCTGGTACATAAGGAAGGATAAATGCTGAAACTGTTTTCATGTGCCTGTGAAAGAAATGGAGGAACAAGTGATATTTTAAGTTTCCCTTGATATTTTGATTTGCTTCATTCTGTTAACTGCCTGTATCGAAGGTTTTAGTTTAGATGTGCCATTATTTCAGGGGGAATTTTGGAGGATTTTTGTTCTTGCAGTGCTGGACCACTTTGTGTGCTCTACTGCTGAGTTAGATATCTAGCCACTATGGTTTTGAATCCATGTTTCTTCATTTAAATGACACACAGTCTGCATAAAACCATTAACAAAATATCTTATGGTGAAATGCCATCTGTCTTTATGTTCACTAACAAGAATATAATCTATAATTGTTAAAGACAACCCAAGCAATAAAAGTTTCCACCTTAACTAGTTGTCAGAAGTAGCAATACAGTTACAAGTGGTAACATTTATTCACTGCCTTATTTTGAGTTGGATCTTTGTTATCCTGGGAGTCCTGTAACTTCAAAGGTTTTGAAACAGCATTGAAATCATGAGAACTTACTCTGCCTTTCTGTGTGTATTGTCTAGCCAAGACCCTTAAGTTGCTGAGGGATGGTTCAGATGAATTCAAATGAACTTTTACTACCTGACAAATACAACTGAATGTCATTTCAAGGGCACGTGATTTCACCAATCTGATACAATACCATGTATATCTGCTTGGTATACCAAGTCATTAAAGAAAGCTGTCTTGATACTGCTTTAATCTTCTTTCTTCCCCCAATGTAAAAATTTCACATACTGCGCTTTATAACGGCTGTGGATCTGAAATTCACCTCTAGTAAATAACCCTTAACACCTCTATGATATACATGCAAGGTCAGTTGTGCTGTAAAATTTTGATAACCATATTTTATTGTTCAAAACAGCCTTTTATGGAGGCAGGAGATCAAAAAAGAGTCAATAGTTTAATTGAATCTCCCTGGTGGCAACCTCATCAGTTTTCAAGTCCCAGGAAAATGTGGGCAACAAACAAATCAACAAAAATTGAATGTCAACACAGAAACTACACATAAGAAATTATTAGGTATTATTTGGTATGTAGAATCTACACAGTTTGCTATAAAAGATAATTGAACTTAGTTTAAGACATATTTCTAAAAACATCATAATGATAATAGATAATATTTTGGTTTATGATCTTGTTTGATCTACCCAGCAGCTCCATATGGTAGCTACTGTTACCTCTATTTTATGAACAAGGAAACAAAGACCTAAAACAGTATATAAAATCTATTTCAAAATTTCAAAACAGGTAAATCACAGTCTCTAAAGTAGAGGGGTTTCCAACCATTAGGGCACATGAAGTCCTGAAATACAGCAGTGAAGCAAAGGGGATGTGAGGTCAAATAAGGAGCAGGGGATTTGTAGACAAGTCCACGTGTAACAGCACAAATACAGAATATGCATCAGAACCCGAACACATTACTGAAGAGTTCCAGGCTAGTGTAGATATATTTCTTTTTCAATATGGAATGACTTTGTTCTTAACCAGTTTGCTTTATCTCGGGACCACACTCATTTGCTTACATTGGAATCATCACCAAAGAACGCTACTGCATCTCCATGTGGCTCTGGTTTGATCCCTAAAGTGAACCTTGTCTTGGTTCCTTCCTGGTCTCACCCTTTTCCATATCCGACCTGTTTCATCCTCATGGCAGGGACATGTAAGACCCTTCCTAAAATATTTCAAATTCTTTAATAGAGCACTCTTTTGCTTTGTTTCAAGTTCCACAAACATAGCACATTATCCTTGAAATAATGAATTTAAATGCAAACAAAATTCTGCTTTGCCTAAGAATTTCAAGGATGTAGAAACAACTAAATTAACAAATATTCACTAACTGCTTGTTGTGTACACATCTCCATGTTTTACCCTGTGCAGATCTCAAATTCACCAGAGACCAAGTCTGCTACTAATTCCTATGTAATCCAGCTCAGTGGATTCCCACTCCCATTCTGTTATTGATCTGATAGCATTTTGGAATGTAACCATTGCACTTCCTTCTTCATTTCTGCTTATCTAAGCACTATCCGTTATTTGAACCTGACTCTATAAAGTCTTTCCAGATTTTCCTAACCTGAAGTGTGAAATTTCTCTTCACCACCTTATTACTTTCTATCTTCTTTAATTCATTTATCACTGTCATATTTAGTTATTTATGTACTTGGATGCCTTGAAGCAAGAATTCTGTTTTAATGAATTTTAATTTCTGAGATATCAAGTACAATGATTAGTATCTACTAAATGGTCAATAAATCTGTGATGGATTTAATTGAAACAAATAATAGATGAGTGTTTTCCAAGCAAAGCTATCTAATAGAAAATTGATTCTTCTTTAACTTTTTAGGCAAAGTGTTACTGTGATCTTTCATAGCATAATTTATGTATCTAGTAATTTAAAATCATTAATTTATAGATAAATAAGCAAATAATTAATTTACTTTTGTATTTTGCACATACAACAGAATTTTTCTTTGGAAAATTTCAAGATTTTGTATTGTTAACATAATCTTTCACAAAAATTGTTGATAATTCAATTTTTCATAATATACATTTATTTACTTTAACAGTAGTTTTATTCAAAAGAATTAACTAGGACTTCATAAAAATTTAAGGCTACATTTTTAATCTCATGTTTCCGTGCTTTAGGGTCTAGTTTTTAAAACAAAAGCAAAACCAAAGCAAACAAAACAAAACAAAAACTTAACCTACCATAATGTAAATGGAAATTTAAATACAATATTACTTTTTATTGTGTAAGAGAAAAATGGTTATTACTGTCTATGTGCTGGAAAATAAAACAAACTAGAAGTATGTCAGTATAATATTTTCTATTAATAGAAATATTTATAAATTTGAGAAGACATAAAGCAAGATGAATATAAAATATTTTTATCATCTTCATTTAAAGTACATGCACAGTAACATAGTTCTTCAGCTTTATTATAATGTTACTTATAAATATATTTGTCTTTTGTTTGATCACATCATCTAACTTCCCATTTTTCTTTTAGACTTTAAAGCTGTCAAGCCGTGTTCTAGATAAAATAAGTATTGGACAACTTGTTAGTCTTCTTTCCAACAACCTGAACAAATTTGATGAAGTATGTACCTATTGATTACATCTGTTACGCATTATCTTAGAAATCACACAGACTAAAGGTGGAGTTTTCCTGCACCAGACAACAGTAATAGTGGTTATTTACAGGCTACCCATCTATACCTTGGCTATTTCTGGAAACTGAGAATGGTAACTCATGTAGCAGAGTGCCACTCTGAGGTCTGGTGGGTCTGCCCAACTCACACGCACCAGAGCTTGCTTTTAATAAGATTTTTAAAAACTTAATCCTTATCAGACCTGGCTTCCTTTTAATACTTCAAATTGGTTATTTACTTTGTTTGAATTTGATACTCTGAGGAATTTTTGTTCTGTGCTGTTTTATGTAACAAATTCAAGGTCTTTGAGGACAGATATTATGTTTTATTTATCTTTGCATTTCTAGTACTTAACTTAGTACTGGACCCATAACAAGTGCTAAATAAATTACTGCTGAATTGGGTATATATTTATACTAAATATCTCTGTCAGATAATAGAACTATGAAGTTGGGTACGGACTGAGTCTCGGAGAAAGAGTCCTTTGTTCTCTCATGTTCTAGATGAGGGTTCTTGCTTTATTCAAAAAAGATGTGATTTAAAATAAATTCTGGACGTGATACTTAAAATTAAAAATCTCAGTTCAACCATTCTCAGTTCAACTGACTAAAAGCATAACTTGAAATGCAGTGACTTTAACTTCATTTCTCAGAGAAACCTAGTCTCCGTGTAGACTGTGTAAGCCCATTGCTATGTGCTCCATGTAATGAATACCTAGACGGTAATGTGCTCAGAACCGTGAGTTGTTTACATGTGCTCCAAGTGCTCATTTTCCTCCATATGTAATTGTTTGATTTGGGGGTGGAGGATAACATGCCACTTGTTTTCTCCGTGCTTTTGTTTTCCAGGGACTTGCCTTGGCACATTTTGTGTGGATTGCTCCTCTACAAGTAACTGTCCTGATGGGACTGCTCTGGGATTTGCTACAGGCCTCTGCCTTCTGTGGCCTGGCTTTCTTGATAGTTCTTGCCCTCCTTCAAGCAGGATTAGGGAGAAAGATGATGAAGTACAGGTAGTAATCTATTGTCATGGCTTGAAGGTGTTTAAATCAGGCTTTTAAGAAAGGCATTCTAGTAAATTCCAAACTTCGCTATGCACTGTACTGATTTAGTCACTAAAAGAGGCATAATTTACTTATTTATTTTTGGTGGTATTGGTGTTTGAACTCAGGGCTTTGTAATTGCAAGGCAGGCACTCTATCACTTGAACTACCCCTTCAGCCCCAAAAGGCATTATTTTAATTGTGCAAATAACACTTCTTAAATCAATGGGACCATTTTTTTTTGCTTGTCATTATATATAATTTCTTTATAGTTCATAAAATTGAAACAGTAATGGGTACAACATTTATATGAATGAGAGAGAATGCATGGATCATCATTCCAGAGTCTTAATTACTTTTTATTGCAGATGAATCAGTAATAGTAGTCAGTGCTTATAATAGAGGACTTATAGAACTTTTCACCCAGAGTATGGCAGAAATTTTACAAATTTTGGAGTCAGATACTCTTTGCTTAAATCTCAGATTGCACAGATTTTTTTCATTTGGTTTTTAAAATGGAGATAATTTCTCGCTTACAGACTGACAAGGATTAAGAACATGGTGGAATGGATCTAGGGCATCACAGAGGAGGCATTTACTAAGTGTTAACTATCGTTTTGATTGCCATCTATCTGATAACAAAACTAATTACCAACTGTATAATAAAAGAAGTGTAGTTTTTCTTAAAAATTTGAGTAGTTCCTAGGGGATAATTTGACTTGTTTTTAACGACTGATTGATTGATTCATTGATTTACAGAGATCAGAGAGCTGGAAAGATCAATGAGAGACTCGTGATCACCTCAGAAATGATTGAAAATATCCAGTCCGTTAAGGCATACTGCTGGGAAGAAGCGATGGAAAAAATGATTGAAAATCTAAGACAGTAAGATTTTATGATATTGTTAACAATATTATCTTAGTATTTTTAAATGACTCTATTACAGGGGACTTTTAGTTCATATTTGAACTTTCTGACAACCAAATGATCTTACTGAGGCACTCATTGCATAAAGTTATTTTGATGGATTATAGTTTTACATAGTTGATCCAGTATGTTATTTGTACTGTAAGGATATTTATACCTGCATGTCTCATAGTTGCTTAATACGCTTACTTGATTAAAATAATCATGATGTTAGAAGGTAACTGAGACTTTAAATGGAACTGCTAGTATGTGCAATTCTGAACCAAATAAATGATAATTCTGAACGGAATAAATAATCTTCTATTATGATACTTTACTTAATGTATTATGACACACCAAAAAGTGAAAACAATCTCTTTATTTGGAAAGTTGTGTTTGTTTTTCCTTAATTTAGGAGCAATTACACAGGGTAATATCCATAAATTGTATTCCTATTGACTTTCCACTTGAGCTAGGTCAGTACATGTAATGAAAGCCATTCCTGAGCTAGAATCCATATTTGGCACCTGTGTCTAGTCTTCTTTCACCTCAGATTACCTTCCACTGATTAGCAAAGATTATATCCAGTAAAAACAAGTATAGCACAAACCGAAATATAATTACTAAGATAATTTGGGGCAATATATAAACTAGAACATTTCTGTAGCCCAGAAGCCAATTTCCTTAGTTTAGTTCTGTGTTCTTGAAACTATAATAAAAAAATTTCTCTAAGACTTACTGGTGGAAGATACGTCATTAAAAAAACAACTGACTTCAAGACATATGTCACATGAAAGTTTCACAGTGGAAAATATACTAAAAATGAAGAGTACCCTTTTGGGTGGTGTGAATATAGATTAGTACGTATTCAGGCTGCTTGAATGAATTGAGCAGCAGGTGTGTGATTGGAACAACAAGTGAAAGGCTGAAAATTTAAGTCCTTTGCCATGTAAATAGAAAGAGTAAAAGGATATTTATTTCCCAAATATTGGTCACCTGTTTTTGTTATGTCTTTCAAGATAAATCCAGGAAAGGAATTGCATTTTCTTTTCAGAAACATCCTTAAAGATGGGGGAATTGTTCAGTTAGTAAAAGTTGTTTTTTGTGGTAACAAGTGAGTGAGCGCTCCATCACACTTTGCTTATAAACGTAAGTATCACATGCGTGATGCAGAGGTTTTCAGACGATCTGGTTTGCTCAGGCTTCATAATGAACTCATGGCCAGGTCATTTTTGGGGCTGACTCTTTTTGACATTGTTTCCTCCCCCCCACCAAAAGATGAAATTCATCCCTCCTCATTTGCATTTCTGTTGACCAATTCTGATAACAAATGTCTGGTTATAACTTGCATAATCCAGCTGAAATTGTTACCTGAAAAGGCTGGGAAGTGCTGACGTAAATATAGGAAAGCAGGAATCACTTCTACTCAAGAGCAAATATAATGTTCTGGAAGAGATTGACAGAATAGTCTTCAGAGGGGTGATTATCTCAGCCCAGGGCTTTGTTGAACTGGGCAAAAGGCCATGCAAAGCTCCTTGAAAATCTACTCCTATTGCTTTTTGGTAATAAAGTCCCTTTCAATTTTTTATAAGAACCTGATAAAATATTTTTATGACTCATAAAGTGTTAGGGATTTTATTATTGTGAGTACTGCTTTCTGGATGATTCTTATAAGTGTTCTTGGATCCATTACTTTTTTTCCTGTATGACTTCTTCCTATTTTTCTCAACTGTTCTCATAGATTTTCAACAATTGTATCACCTTTGTTAACTATTTTGTAAGCAGTATCTCCTATCATTATATAAATACCAAACTACTCAGTATACATATTTTTCCTGTTGAGGAGAAAGGACACATGCTGCAGGCTCTAAGTATTAAACCTTGTGCAGTACACTCATTTAAGCTTAATTCCTCCACCAGGGAGGTGTTATGTTTCTCTTCTTTTGATGTAGAGTCATGTTAAATCAGAAGGAAGAATGACTTGTTTAAGATGTCATAGCTTTAACTGGCAAAGCCAGAGTTCAAACCCAGGTGAGATTCCAAAATCAATCTGTCTTCAGTGCCAAAATATTGAAATCTGTAAACATTATACCTTGTTAGACTGATCACAATCTCGGTTGGGCACGTTGAACTTCATTTCCATCATGGTGCTCAGGATTACATATTTTTCTTTTAAGATTTTAAAAAGAGAAAATACTCCCTCTGAGTTCTACCCATTGAGAGTGAGTATTGCTTCTCTGAACTACACAAGAGTGTGTAAGTAGCACCTGAATGCCAGGTGCCCCCCTCAGCCCCCTCCTGCACTCTGTCACAGCATGACTATTGTTCCCTCTCCCAAAGTCATCTATTTGCCTATAGCTTTGTTGTTCTTTGCCTGCTTGGGAAGGATCACAACTCTAGTTTCTACATCACAAGGGATTCCGGTTTTTACAGCTCCTAAAAGAATGAGACTGAGTTTGAAGGCAGCATTGTCCTCTGTCCTCACCAGCCTCTACACTCCTTGTTTTCTGCCTTTTGTAACACTGAAGCCTTATATATGTGTTAAAAATAATTTGCACTTACAGTTCAGACTAGAGGATTGAAACTTTAATGAAGTATGATTACAAATAATCACACTGAAATGAAGGAGACACAGAGGATGCAGTATTTACTCCCCTAATTTCTTAAGAAACATCTGCCACAGAATATTTGACTTCTTTTTCTAAAATGCTGCTTCTGGAAACCCATTGTAGACTCGCTCAATCAGTATCTCTAGAGGTGAGTCTGAGAAGGCCTCTTAAATTTCTTGGGAGATTTTTACTCATGCTTTCAGTGTTATTCAAAGTTAAGCTAGAATTTCTAAAATGTTAAGACTCCATTAGGTAATCACAAAATAGACTTTTTTTTATAAATCTTTTGACATTGTCCTCCTTTCCACACTTAATTACTCAAAACAATCAACCAACAAACAAAAATCATCAGTCTCAAAAATCATACAAGTTATAATGAAGAGATAAAATTCATTTGATAATAATTAAATTATAATTTAAAAATAATTTTTAGAGATATTTGTGTCAAACACTGGTAAATTTATTACTATCTCCTTTTTTAGATAAGGTAACTTGCCCACAGTCACGCAGATCACCTTCATACAAGGTGAAGCCAGGATCACAAAACAGGGAGAAAGACTTTAGAGCACATGTTTAGATTTTATGCTCCAACATGCCTAATATTTGAAAAATAAAATAACACCCTGCATCTTCTTTTTATTTTTTATAGAACAGAACTGAAATTCACCCGGAAGGCAGCCTATGTGAGATACGTCAATAGCTCAGCCTTCTTCTTCTCAGGGTTCTTTGTGGTGTTTTTATCTGTGCTTCCCTATGCACTGATCAAAGGAATCATCCTTCGAAAAATATTCACAACCATCTCATTCTGCATTGTCCTGCGTATGGCAGTCACTCGACAATTCCCCTGGGCTGTACAAACATGGTATGACTCTCTTGGAGCAATAAACAAAATACAGGTAACGTGCCATAACTGTGAATGATGTACTATGATTTTGAAACAGTTTGGAATTTTCTAGCAAGTAAACCCTCTAGAGATGAATTCTTGGTCTTGAACCTACTAACGGATATAATTTCCTACATGGTAATGAGCTCTTGTAATGAAAGCCTAGAGAAATAAAATAATGACCTATGAGATTCTCATAAGTCAAAGAAACTTAATTATTTCTATAATCTGGAAAATTTCATCCAAGTAGTCAGTGACCGATCTAATGAACTTTGTAAATGTGTAAATAGATTGAAAACCAAATTTTTTTCTTCAGAAGTTAGAAAACTTTCCAGTCAGTGCTAGGAATGCTCACTTTTGATGTTTCCCAGCATTTCCTTGGATGGTATGATGGATGAGTATGGCATTTCATGCCACATTAAGTATTTTAAAATCCTAGCAAAGTCTTTAGGTGATGAGATTCAATTTATGCAGAGCTAATTGAATGAATAAGTATAACAAATAAGCAGATAAAATGTTTATTACACTTTAAAATATGTACTTAACACAGAAAATAAATCACTGTGCCAGAAAGACAAATGAGGGGTAAAGGTTGAGCCACTTCTATGTAGTTTTGTCATTATTTATCTAGGCCAGAGATTGCAAATGGTGTCCATCCCCTAATTTTGACTTTTAGATCTATTCTGTTTGGGTTCTACATTAAAAAAAAATTGAAGTAGGTGCCAGAAATTAGAAATTGGGAGATACCAAGCACAAACACAAATGCACACAAAACCATACCTCAGCCTCTTTTGAAAAATTGGAATATTTTGTTATCTGATCCTCCTTCCTCATAAGCTCTGGCACCTGTCTCCTCACAGAGTACCTGCCTTATTCAGGTCATCACAATCTCTGTCACCCCCTTCATTACTTAGATCACCTGAGTTTGACTCTTGAGACTGAGTTTGAGATCTGGGATTTAGACAGTGGTAACTGGACGAAGAACCATATTGACTCCAGGAATAATATTATTTCCTCTGTTAACCCCATCACAACTCTGTGTGTCTGTGTGAGAGAGAGAGAGAGAGGGAGTGGGGGGGAGAGAGAGAGAGAGAGGGGAGAGAGAGAGAGAGAGAGAGAGAGAGATAGAGAGAGAGAAATAGACTCAGAGAATGTGTCACAGAGTCACTGAACAGGAATTCAGAAACACATGGGAAAACAAAATTGGAATTGAAACCAAAAGAAGGAAAGAGAGGGGGTTGCAAACAAGAAAGGGAAGCCAGACAAGGACCAGGTTTTTTGCAGGACTTAATATGGTGAAGACTTCAGGATGTGTTAACTTAATTCTTTCTTATGTTCCCTCCTTCCCTAGGAAAAGTATCATTGAGTTTCTAATAAAGCCCTTCTCATAGAACATGGCTGGAGGCCTTAAAAGCAGTTATATAAAGTGTTTACCTTTTAACTCACAGAAGTGATGCTAAGATGTCTCTCATTAGGACGATACTAGAAAGATGACATGTTTTTTCCTTTGTCCTGATATTGAACTGAGGCTCAAGGTTGCTTTATAACTTCATCTCTAAGGTTAACATGTAATAATGTAAGGCAGAATCAGCTGTATGTTAAAATCTAATGTATGAAAAGTTTTACAAAATAGCATGTTCAGAGTGTGTTTCAAATAAGACCAATCCTCATGCTTGGTAAATTAACTTTAGTATGCTGCTATAAAGTTATTTTATTAAGAAATAATATCTACTTTAATTGTTACAATCCATGTACAAGATGCACTGTTGAATGTAACATAGATGTAATAATACATTAGTGCTATTTTGGTTCTGCAATATGTCTTTGCTCTCTTAAATAAATAGGATTTCTTACAAAAGCAAGAGTATAAGGTATTGGAATATAACCTAACAACTACAGAAGTAGTGATGGAGAATGTAACAGCCTTTTGGGAAGAGGTAAGAATTTTTAAAAATTGTCTTCTCTAGATACTTGGGTCTTTTTTCTTTGTGACTCTAGATTTCATCGTGATGTAAAACAGGGTTAGAACTGATAGAACTGGAAAGGACTCTCCACTTATTTTTATAAAATAAGAAACAGAGGCCCAGGAACATTAAAAGTAGTGTAAAAGTCTCTTTATTTCTTTTTAAGTCATAATAGATCAGGCAGTAATATAAAGATTATAATATTCAAGGCTAGGTTTGAATCCTGTCTCTCCCATTTATTCTCCATAACGAAAGGAGTTACTTTAAACTTGAGGAACTCCTTCTTCTTCATTTGTAAAATAGAGAATATTAATATCTACCTTGAAAATTTGTGGTGAAGACTGGGATGACTTATGTAAAGTGTTCAATAGAGTTCTATACATGTCTTGGTTCCTCAATGATCATTGCTTTCTCTGATCCCAAGTTCTAGTCAAATGTGTCCACATACACCAGTCAAAAAAAAGATGTAGGGGAAATATATCAATCTCTTTTACTATTTTTACTTATTCTATTGACTACTAAAATTATCTTACATTTCTCCATCATAAAACAAACTATTAAAAAAGAAAAAAACTACTGTAATTTTTAGGCTGTAAAGAAGCAATATTTCCCAGGTGTGGCCATGCATGCCTGTAATCCCAGCACTGGGGAGGCAGAGGCAGAAGGATTCATGAGTTTGAGGCTAGTCTGAGCTGCACAGTGAGAACACATCTCAAAAAAGCAAAAAGTAAAAAAAATAAAGACACAGTATTTGATTTTTTGAAAATCAAAAAATCAGTATTTGAAAACGCCTACTGAGTTTCTATTTCTTTATCACTTAAAGTCTGTCCAGTAAAGGTAGGATTTACAAAACTAATGTCCTGTTTCTAAATCTTTCACAATCTTACATTGGATTTATTTATATCAGTAACTAGATGACCAGAGCATCCTTTTACTTCATTTTTATAAAGATACCAGTAAGAGAACAAATTTTATATGCCTAGCAATTGTTTTGTGAAAAGTGGGAGGGTCAGATTTATTTTAGTACTTTCCTTTAAGAATTTCAAATTCCTACATGCCCTTTTAAACATGTAGGAAAATATGAAGCCTGACATTTTCACTGCTACTTTCAGATTTTTTTCCCTACTCTGGTGCAAAACCCTTCCATTCCTTGTTCACTCCATCTAATGAAGCAGGCAGCATGTTTGAGCTAGATAGTAGGATAAGTACCTCATAGGCTTTTTCTCATTTAATCTTCACAACATTCATATGACCTAAATAATATAAATATTTCCATTTTACTGCTAAGAAAATGGAGGCTTTAAAAAATGAAGGGACTTGGCTCATCTCACACAAATGACGTGCACTCTCACAGCCTAGAGCCATTTCATAGAGCCATTGTCTCCCATCTGGCTTATCTTCCCCTCCAGTGTGTGACCATCACCTGTCAAACTCTCTGATGCTTCTTAAAGTCATAGTAGTAGTGCTTGTTAAGCCTCTGTTGTCTTGTCTGAGACTTCAGCATGCACATGGATGAGCCTCCCATACTGTTCTTAGAACTTGTATTTTCCAGTGACTTCTTCAGAAATCTCTCTCAGTCATATACTGAGCTTTTGGCATCAGACTTGCCCCACTTCGGAACTGTCACATTTTGAAGTCAGTCCAGAATTTGCCAGCCCTCCAACTATCTCAGTTTCTAATCCCTATCTTTACTGCCTTTCAGTTTTATTAAGAGTTCTAGTTTCTCTAATTCTCCCTTTTGGATCCCTCTTGGTTTATTCTTTGCTTGTTCCAAGTCCAGTCCACTTTTTTCCAGCTACACATTCAATTCACTTTTCCTGGAAAACATTTGCTCTATCAGCTTCAGAGAAAGAAGTGTTATCTGGGGAAATTAAATATATAAAACTGTAGTTTTATATATTTTATATATATATATATAATATATTTTGTATATTTATTGTTTCAATATCAATTGGGCCTGTAATCCTTCTGGAAAAATCCTTCCATTTGTCTTTAGTTAACTTCTTTTACCACTTCCCTATAAATTATTCCAGATCTTTAATACTTTCCTGAAACACCCAACCTCTGTCAGGATCTGCCCACCTGCAGTTGATGACCTTGCCTTCTAAAATACATAGAGAAAATAGAGACCTCATTGCATGAGAGGGTTTCCAACTTCTCCCGTGACCCTTGGAATTACTTTTTCCTTTTCACATTTAAATATTTCCAAGCTAAAAATTTCCCCTCTGGTTCTTGCCCAGGCAACCTCATTTCCCAACCTTACCAACTCTTCTTGGCTGACAAATTTATTCTCCCTGCCTCCCTGTGGGCTTTCTTCCATTGCAACCGGGAACTCACTGTCATCAGTCTATTACAACTGTCCTTTTCTTCTGAAATTTATCACTTAATTTAGCTTTAGTAAGCCACTCTTTCCAGATTATTTTAACCTCAGATCATGACTTCTAAGTCTGCCCTGCCTGTCATTTCTATGGTTAGGGGTCCCCCTGAGTGTCTTCTAGCATTTCATGTTCTCTGTGGGTGACTTCACTCAGCCTCAACCAACATCCATGTGCTGATGACTCTCAAATGCAAATCTCTGGTCCCAGTTTCTTTCCTGAATTTTCCCATCTCCCCATGCACTCCATATTCGTCACTCCCCAAGCATCATTATCCCACTTGCTCCCATGTAGTCTCCATCTCCTGTGATGGCATCACCTGAGAGACAAGTACCTGATGAGTTACATGGCTCCTCCCTCATGACAAACCTACAAATCAGTAATGATTATAAGTCACGTATTAGGAAAGGGAGGCTTAGAGAGATTACATTAGCAGATCAAGGTTGCTCCACTAGGTAAGGCAGAGCTAATATGTCAGCCTACATGTCTCTGTCTCCCAAACCCTTTCCAACTTGCCATACTGACACTTACTGAAAAAAAGAAAAAGTGCTGCTTTACTGTGTACAGAATGATTCCCCATACATTATTTTGTGTAGTGCCCTTGATAACTCAGGAAACTGAAGCTCAGTCTTAGGACTTGTCATATTTACTCATCTAGTTAAGAAGATGAAAGAAAGGCTGGGACAAAGACAGAGCGGATCATAACCCCTCCCTCCCAATTTAGGAGGCCCAAAACATAGAAGTGTTCAGTTGTACTAGAAATCAAATAAATACAACTAGCATCCATGATGAAATTCCATTTTCACATATAAAACTACTCACACACAAAGACTTTAAAACCCAAGGGCAAAACTAGCATTCTCATAGATTGCTAGAGGAAAACTTGGAACTATATTTTGAAAGATTTGGAGTTTTATATACTTATTCTCTGGAACTTCCACTTGTGGGAATTTATTTGAAACAACAAGAGCAAAAAAAGATTTATAGCAAATTGTACATCATAGAATTGTTGATAACTATTTATAGTTTAAAATCTGTGATATTCTCCTGAAATTAAAAATTATATGCTTAATGGCATATATGAAAATATTTGTGTTATATTACATCAGAAAACAGGTTATAAACTTTAAAGTTAATTTTATGGATCAAAAATAATGTATATAATTTAATGTACATGAATATATATATATATTATATATGTAAAAGAGTAGTGGGTATCAACTGAAATATTAAGTTGGTTTATTTCTCAGTGGTACAACTGAGGTGATTTCTATTTTCTCCTTTCCAATTTCCTGAAATAAGTGTTCTCTAAATTAGAAATAAGAGTTATTAGTAACAGCAATCTTCCATCCAAGTCCTTATTAGATAAAATCCTACTTCTAAGCATTACCATTCAAGCCCATTAACAGCTAGCTCTCACCATTCCACTCCTAAGACATATTTTGTTCTTTTAACACTAAGTAATTATGCATGGAGATCTGTCTTCCTGGATCACAGAGAAGCATTTTTTGGTTTTGTGAAAATCTACTTCTATCCTTCGGAGCTAGAATATATGTCATAGTCCATAGCTCTCTCAAATATACTCCATTAGACCTGCTATGATTTTTAATTGTAGGACCATTCACATTGTAATACTAATGTCTATTCATGTATCATTCTCCTTTGTGAGATTTTTGAAGTGGTCTGTAATGCAGAGTTGGTGTTCAATAAATAATTATTATGTTAATAAATGATTATGGGCTGGGTACAGTGGCTCACAAATGAATGTGGGCTGGGTGCAGTAATTCCAGCTACTTAGGAGATGGTGAGCAAGAGGATCATGGTCTGAATCCAGTCCAGGCAAAAAATAAGACAGACTCCATTTCAACTAAGAAGCTGAGAGTGGTAGGGCACATCTATAACTCCAGCTACACATGAGATGTAGGTAGGAGGATCACAGCTGGTCTTTGGCAAAAACACATGGGATACACTGACTGTAAAAAATAATTAAAATAAGAAAGGGCTGGGTGGGCTAAGTGGTAGAGCACCTACCTAAAAAGTGTGAGGTCTTAAGTTCAAACCAAGCACTGTGCTCTCCCCCCAAAGAAAAGAACTTGGCAAAAATAGATGCTTTTGCCTTGTTTTTGAGGACTTCTTAAAAGTTCTGCTTTTATTTGTCTGGTGACTGAAGGGAATATTAGACACTCAATCATAAGAGCTCAAACAGTAGCCTTCAAGCTTAATTGCTTATCTATACTCTATAAGAATTTTGGAAAACTACATACTTCAAATGCAGTTTTAGTTGACATAAAATTTTCAACATAAGTTTAAGTGGTGGCAAAGGCTGGTATTTCCTGTTTATTGTCCATTGTCAAAACTTTGGAGCTACAATTTGCAGTTTGAGGAAAATAAATAAATTTGCGAAGGCAGTTCTCATTGTCAAGCCAGTTAGCTAAATTACTTGCTTTCAGAAAAAGCAAGACTTTATATACAGATAAATAATAATCTGTATTTGATAATTATTAAAATCTATTAGTTGAAATGCTTTATTCTGAAATTTGACTCCAAATAGGTAAGACACATCACATAGATTTCCTTAAGTCTGAAATCTAGGTGAAATAAGATGCTGCCTCTTTCAGTATGTCTGGCTTTGTTTTTGTGGGAGCCTCTTTCAAGAGGAAATCATTCCTTTACGGTCCCCATGTTCAATTCTCAAAGGTTTCCATACTCTGGAGGGTGCTACATAGTGAGGTTAGCACTCATGTTCATAGTAGGTGAGAAGGCCATAACTTTTCTTTAAGGTGACAGAAGGACAATGATGAAATGGAATGACTCAGGAGTAATGACAGCAGGAAAATTCTCTGTCAGGTTAATTTTGGAAAGAGTACCTTCGAATGTGGAGGATCTGGAGACAGATTCCCTTAAATCTAGGCACCCCACTTCCTCCTGACATGTCTTTAGGGCTGTTTACTTTAGATTGAAAACCACTACCCCATAGCTTCCATGGTTGCAATAGAGGGGCAAGGTATTTTCAAAAGGGAATTCTTCCTTCCCAGATACCCTGAAGCAAATGAATTCATTTGAATCTTCGGACAACCTCATCAGTTATAGTCAACAATATTACTTAAAGAAATGCTTCGAACTTCTCAGGGGAACAACCTACCAATGTGATAGAGTAGAAGTCAGATTTGGGTTGTAATTCCACTGTTGCCTACTGGCTATGACTTCTTTCTGAGTCACTCTATAGCTTTAAAAGCGTAAGAGTAAGTCTGTAAAATATACCTCATACATTATGCTGGAATTAAATAATAATGTCTATGTACCCAGCTTATAGGAGAAAGTCTTTAATGAAATTTAAATTGTACTTGATAATAGGCAAAGTTCTGAGAAAAAGCACCTATGTTTCTCTCAAATACTATATCTACAATTTTCACATGTTTTGGATCATGTCCTTTGGTAACCATACACTTTTTAATTATATTCTGTAAAGTCATATGTATATTTTATAATAGTTCATGTGCCATGTGCTCTTCAAACTAATCATGCAAAAGATAAGTATCTATTGAAAATACCCCAAAACCCTATCTTTTATTATTTTTTGACAGGGATTTGGGGAATTATTTGAGAAAGCAAAACTAAACAATGACAGAAAGATTTCCAATGGTGATAGCAACCTGTTCTTCAGTAACTTCTCCCTTCTTGGCACTCCTGTCCTGAAAGACATCAACTTCAAGATAGAGAAAGGACAGTTGTTGGCAGTTGCTGGATCCACTGGAGCAGGCAAGGTAGTTCCTTTCCTTCTTTATCATTGAGAACTTAATTTGACATGCAATTCTCCTTCTTTTTTTTTGGGTTTGTCTTCCCCAATGTTTTGGGGAAATTGGATATGCTTGGCTATAGTGTCCCTTCTAATATAAATTGTTCCACTGATAATTTCCTCTAGTTTTAAATTTTTCTTATATTACTTCCAGTGATTTTTTTTCTACAACTCTATATTTTACATAGAATTCAGCACAGTTTATTGCACAAGCTGGGCTTTCAATAACATTACTGAGCAAATTAACCATCCATTTTTACCAGTCTTTAGCACAGAGACTTTTTTCAGAGATGCTACACAGTGATCATCCTCTCCACTCAGCTGAACATTTTATACTTATATAGTCTCAGTGTATATGGAATACATCTGGCCAAATCTAGTAGGTTAGAAGGGAAAACAGATCAAGAACCAAACTTGATTGTCAGAAGACGAGGCATAATAGTGATCTTGAAAGATATAAGCAGTGTATCACTATCGTACATTAATGATACACTGTTGTTCTCTTTTAACAATCAAGGAAATATATTTAAAAGATATGAAGAAATCAAATTAGAGATAAGAAAGTGCAATGGCGTGGGCTATTAAGGACAGCAGCATTTATTTTGGAGGTCTATAAAAATAGGTGCTTGTCCTCATTTCACTACCATGTTAGTTGTGGTATGTTTTAGAAATACAAGAAAAAGTTAAGTGATCTATTGAAACTTTTCAAAGTTCTTTCTAGAATTCTAACCAAGACACAAGAAAAGATGGTAAGAAGGAAGGAAAGAAGTAAGGAAGGAAGGAAGGAAATAGAGAAAAAGCCATGTTGCTATAAGGTAAAATAATAGAATATAAATGAAGAAATAAAAACTTCTAAAAGGCAGTTATTTATTAATATCTAAGCTGTGGAGAGCTATATTTTGAAGAAGTTAGTCTGACACTTGGAAACAAAATGCCACAGAAAGTATCCAGTCAGTGTATGTGGTGCTTCCAATGCCATTAATACAATTTGCTTATTTCTCTCTCCAATTGTTTTCCAACATCAGACCTTTCTAAATAAAGTAGCTATATTGTGCATTCTCTTACAAAAAAAACCCTTCTTTCCCAGAGTGTTTTCCCCTCTATTTCTTATATATTAGCAATTTTTACTATGAAAAGAAAATTATACCAAAGGAGGAGCTGATACTCTTCATTTCTTTCTTTCTTTCTTTATTGGTAGTACTGGGTCTTGAACTCAGGGTCTTATACTTACTAGGCACACGCTCTTACCACTTGAGCCACTTTGCCAACCTGGAAAAGCTGATACAAAAGAAGGTACAGATGCTGTAAAGCAGGATGTTTGCTTTTGAGATGGTAATATTTGTGCTTCATAGAATTTTTTAAATTAATTGTGCACTTAAGATCACTTCTGTCAGACATGGTTGTGCATGCCTATAATCCTAGCAACTTGAGAGACTGAGTCAGGAGGATTGCAAATTTAAGGCCAGCCTGGGTATCTTAGAGATGCCCTGTCTCAAAATAAAATTTTAAAGAGGACTGGGGTGTAGCTCAGTGTAGAGTGCTTACTTAGCCTGTGCGAGGCCTTGGGTTTGATCCCCAGTACTGCAAACAAACAAAACAAACAACAAACAAAATTCTGAAAGATGTGTAAAAAAATTTCTTTGGAATTATAAATCACAGATTTACTAGCAATTACATTTCAGGCAGTTCTATTAAAACTGATGTTTAGATAATTACTGGCTTGAGCTACCATTGCATATTATGGGAAGTAGCTATGAAGACAGTTAGGCGAAGGCCATGGTCCCTTAGGAATAATTACATACTTGTGAGAAATAGTTCACTAACTCAGCCGAGGAGGCTACTTCTTGTAGTATTGGAATGGAGTACTTTATTATCTTCTGGACAAAAGATCTAGCTAAAATATAAGGTTGTGTAACATAAAGTAGTAACATTTTAAGATAATTTCATCCCACATCATTTGGTAACTTGTACCAGTCTTAAAAATAACCTAAGAATTCTTCTACTTGTTTGACATATCCTAATATGTTTTTATAGATTTTGAATAAGTATCATCAGCAGACCACAGCAACATGTTTTTATGTTGAAGTTCTCTACTCTTTGAATATGGAAAGTTCTCCAAAATACATACTTAAGTGAGAAAAGCAAGAAACAAAACTATGTGTGCAGCATGCTACTTTTTATATACACAGAGATGTGAGGAACAATAAAATATTGATATGTGTGCATGAAAACATCCTAAAAATAATCAGCAAGGTTAGCTTCACAACATTGATCTCAGTGACCAATATTGTGAGGAAAACCCCACAAGTGTCTAATAATACAGGATTATTTAGATAAATTTTGGTGTAGCTATATAATGGCAGTCAATAAAAGGGATGTTAAAAAATGACTCTGAGGGCTCTGTATGATATACGTTAGGTAGAGAAAGACAACAGGTTAGAAAATGGTGTGTATATTATGACCCATATTTTATAAAATATATCTGTGCATGTATATATGTGTGTCTGGAAGGACAAATATGCCAACTTGTTATTTCTGAGGTTTTGCATGTATTTTACATCTCTGGATTTTCCAAACTCTCAACAATTAAGGTATATTATTTTATTGATAAAACAATAAAGTCACGATTAACTTTATCACTCTCCTATAATTGTCTGAAGTTGTCTTCTTCATTTTTATATTCCAAGGACTATCACAGTGATCAAAATTTAACTGGGGGAAATGTCTTGCACTTAAGAAACTTCCTTGGGTATTTTATGAAATGATGTTAGTGTAGAAGTTTGTACCATGGGTGCCTTTGACTGAAAGCTGGTATGTCACATTTTATTAGGTCTGGGGATTTTTCAGTCTTCTTGTTCCCAACCACAACCAAAGCAGTTCTATGACCTTGTTCACATCTTCTTTCCATACTGTTTCTATCCTCTATCCTTGCCTCCTGCTGGTGCTAAAGTTTGGTCTTATAATTGGGCATCGGATGCATAGAATAAGCTATTAGTCCATGATTTTGCTTATTTTTAAAACAAATTACAAGTGTCTACAAAAGTTATTTAAACATTTTGGAGTTTAGGAAGATATGAAATTGAATGAAAACATCATATATATATATAGATATATAGATACATATATAGTCAAACCTAAAATATTTTTTAAATGGTGCCTATACTGGCATATATAGACTTTTGGAGTCATTATTACTAATAATAATGTATTAATAATACAGTATAACAATGACTTACAAACCACTTACACTGTATTAGCTTATAAGTAATATAGAGATGATTTAAAGTGTATGGGAGGATGTGCACAGGTTGCATGCAGATACTATGTTATTTTATATCAGAGATTTAAACATTTGTGGTTTTTGTTATTCACAGGGGCTTCTTGAACCAATCCCCCAAGGATATCAAAGGATGACTGTATTTTGATATTTTAGGAAAGTCTACATTTTTATTCTAGTGGTAATAGTAATAATAATAATGACAACAAAGTCTGTCAAATATTTCATTCCCTGTATCTTTAGTTCATTTCTTTGAGGTTGGCAACCTCCTTTTATTATCTTTCTCAATGTTTGTTTTTGTACTTGTTAATATGCTTATGCTTATTTGAACTGATTTGTTAACTTTAAATGATATCCTTTGACTTCTTGCTTTTTTTAACAAGGCAATCAGCAAATTTCCTCTATATCTTACACCCATACTCTATTTCCTTTGTTTTATAAACTTTATTTTTATGTATATCTTCTCTTTTTTTGTCAGAGCATATAACATATTTAACTTTTGTTCTTTGATTCTAATTCTTCCAAATAGTTGTAATTTTGATTCACATCTTTGTTCAATGATAGTTCTTTGGGACTATATCCTGGATGATCTTGTACTTCAAGAAAGGCCCATGGGAACAATATTACCTGAACTTACCAAATCTCTCCATAACAAGTCAAAGATAGTGCTGAATCTACTTCGTATGATTATTGTGAAGAATAAATAATATAGTTTAAAGCACATTGACAGCCCAGTACATAGTGAGCATTCAACAAATGTTAGCTATTGCTAATCTTCCTAGACCCCCTCCAAACCCATACCACCTATCTGAAATAGGGTCTCCTTCTCTGTGAACCTCTATCCTAACCCTTGTCACTCTGTGTTGTAATGGTCTCTTTCATTCTCTTTGTATCTTTTGTGCATAGCAGAGTGCCTGGATCAGGAAATAACATCAAAGACTTTGAATCAAATGAGTTAACAGATGCTTTAAAACTCAGAAAACATTCCTTTACTTAAAACTCAGAATAGATTCCTTCACTTAGAATGAAAACTGGAGGTGAGTGAATCCTGAGTTGAATGATTTGATCAAACAGCTTAGTAACAATGATTTTTATTTCTAGACTTCACTCCTAATGATGATTCTGGGAGAATTGGAGCCATCAGAGGGTAAAATTAAGCACAGTGGAAGAATTTCATTCTGCTCTCAGTTTTCCTGGATCATGCCTGGCACCATCAAAGAGAATATCATCTTTGGTGTTTCCTATGATGAGTATAGATATAGAAGTGTCATCAAAGCATGCCAACTGGAAGAGGTAAGCAATGATGTGAAAAACTGCTGATTATGCACATGAAACCTTCAGACTGAACAATTATATATTTAGCTCTCTATTCTCTTTATGCACATTAAGGTTTCTTCTAGGAGAAAGCTACTGTGAGTGGATTACTTAAGAGAACACATGACTCTGCTTTAAGAAGCTTGCAAATACATAAAACAAAAGCAGTTTATTTGTTTATTTATTTATTTATTGGTGGTACTGGGATTTGAACTCAGGGCCTCCTACCTGCTAGGCTGGCACTCTACCACTTGAGCTTTGCCCTTAGCCCTGAAATTTATTTTTTAAATGATGGGCTGGCTTGATCACAATAAAACTCTTCATAAAATGATGAGAATTTTTTACACATTAATGAGAAAAATGTCCTCAGTGGCAATTGTATGGCATGTGATTTTTACTTCAAGAATTACATAAGAAGAATGAAACAATTTTAATTATGTAAGAAGAGTTTAACAATTTCGGTAACACTATAGCTTAATGGAATGACCATTGATCTGCTAGTAGAGGATTAGAGAGATAAAGTTATCTTATCTTAAAATTATATCTTATCTCTGGCCTTGAACATATAGCCATACCCAAGTCTCTGAACTAGAGGCAAAAGAAGGATGATGGCCTTAGCTGATTTGATAGCAATTTGAGGAATGGGTTAATTTGTCTGGAAATCCACTCAGTATTCCAGGTGAAGTCAGTATGTGTATCTTGAAATTGTATGATGGTGGGTTCAATAATTATTTATGTAAATGTTAAGACAGAGGATATATTATCATGAAATTTATTGGTGACATTGTCTGGATTGTGGTCCTGATTCAAAACTAGTGTCTTTAATAGAAGGCATTTGGTAGTAGTGAGTTCCTTTACATAATCTTCTGTGAAAAATTTCAGTGAGAATAAAACGAAGCATAATACAGTATACAAAAACGTTCAAAGGGTTACTTGTGGATTAGATAGGGTTGTATACGGATACAAAGGGCTCTCCGTGTGTGTACTGACACATTTGACAGTAGTTATATTTCACTACTATTATTTTCTGTATATTCTGAGAGCAAAATGAAAAGAAAAGCTCTCTGATAAAATTATTGGGCTTATGTTGAAGAAGACATCCATCATTCCTCAAAAGTCATTCTTTTAGGAACAGTATTTCACAACTTGGGTGTTATAATGCCTGGGTTTGTTACCAAAAAAAAAAAGTGTTGCTAGAGAACCAGGTAATTATCTGAGAAGAAACTGAGGTTTAGGAATGGTAGTCCTTGTGAGTGGAAAGGTGTTGGCGTTTCCAGTAAGCTTTATTTTTTTTTTTTGCTTTGAGTATATATTTTCCCATAGAAATGATTTTATAAATGGTGTTTTGTATCACCCAAGTAAAACTATCAAATATATTTAACCAAATATAGCTTAGCTATATCACTAGTAATAAATTTTGAGTTTTGAACATCTCATTCATGGAACAGGTATTTGCGAACTCCTGATCACTGGGATAGGGCCTGGGAATAACAAATTGAATAAAATAGTGTCTACTTTTTAAAGGTTCATTATAGAATGCCCTGCATTAACAAGGAAGAATTGTATAGTATGTGCGTTATACCTTAACAAAGCTGTCAAAAAATAATGAAAGAAGCAGCAGAACATATTTTTCATTTATTCTGATTGCATGCCCCACCTTAAATTAATTTTAGAGTGTATAATTCAATGTATCATGTATTCACAGGATTATACAAACATCATCCCAGTTGTGTTCCCTAAAAGAAACCCCATACCCATTAATAATCAACTCCCTTTTTCTACCTAACCTTCTCCCTGCCAGACCTAAGCAACCACTAATCCACTTTCTGTCTCTTTAAATTTTCCTATTCTTAACATTTCACAAAAGCGAATCATATAATAGGTTTTTATGCCTAAATAATCTTTTAAAGTAGGAGAAAGTTTCATTTAGCAAATGTTTATTAGGACTTGTTGTACTTTACAGAATACACCAGGATCTGGAGATGAAAGTATGAATAGAACATGAGCTATGTACTTCGGGAGTTCACGTTCTGTGGGAGAGAGATCAATAAAGAATCTAAGAGAAAATGAAACAGATTTATATAAAAGTAAAAAGAGGAGACTGGGCTCTATCTGGATCTGCCTAAGGGGCAACTTCCAAATAGAGAACCAAGATTAATGTCCTCTGATGGAATAATTCAGTGTGGAATTTCAGGGGTGACAAGAATGAAACTTACGGCCTCAGAGGGATTTTTGATTAAGAACATCAGAGCTGTCAATAAAGTATAGAGAAAGTTACAGAGATTGATAAGTAAAAAAAGTCTCTGGGTTAGATGATTAGAAGACTGAATGAGATGTACGTATAAGGTGCCCAGCATGGCATCTGGCAAAAAGTTCAATCAGTAAATATTAACTTCTTTCTACCTCCCTATGAGCTATGGAATATTGAGCATGGCAGGAGAAAGGCCTCTGAGATGCATTCTTGCTAGTGGGTAACTACTGAGGAGATAATACAGAGATTAGTATAATTAAGGACAGAAGAACCATGAAATCAAGTGTGATGCAAAGTTATGAATGTGAATTTTGATATCAACAAACTGTTCATAACAGAACATTATAAAGATGATCATATAGAAATATAGCAGTTGCTCTGCATGACACAATCAACAAAATTTGAGGTGGTCGGTGGGAAAAATCAGACAACATAAATTCTTAAAGTTTTGAAATTTGGACACATTGGTTCACTACTCAAGAAATGGCGATGGGGTTGGGAAGTATCCCACTTTTTGTGTCCCTTTCAGACCTACAAACATTACTTGTGTGACATCTTTATGTTGGACACTGTTCACTGCTGTGAGGCCTATTGGGCAAAAAAATAAAAGCTTTACTGTCCCTTTTACCAAAGGATGTATAGGCTGATTTGAGGGAAAATATCCATAAAGACCCCATTGCAAAATGATATGGCAAGTGTGGGCTAGATGTGCTATTAGGGTATGAAAGAAGCCCAATAGATGGCTTTTAGTCTACCTGTGCAGTTCAGAGTCTGTCTCTAAAAGAAGATGCCTTGAAGAATTTGAAGAATGAGTAAACAAGAAATGTATTCCAGCCAGAGGAAACTGTATAATCAGAAACACAGAACCTGTAAAAACTTGGCTGGTGCAGGGAATTACTAGCAACTTGTGTAATTCAGGGACCATGAGTGGACAGGAATGGAGTTGAAGAACCATGTCAGGAATTTGGTATTGAGAACTTTAAGTAGGGGAATGATATAATCACTTTAGAGTTTATATATATCACTTTGTGACAATGAATACCAGAATTAGGGTGGACATAATTAGAAGCTTTGTGGGGTAACTGAAAGAGCACAGATTTTAAAGTATAACAAAGCCAGTTATTCAAGAAAGTTACTTAGCTTTGATATATTCTGTTTAATTTTCTGCAATATGAAGCTAATATTACATATTTTATAGAGGTTGTGGGGATTCTGTTAGCACATAGAAAGTTTGTATACTATTAATAAATAAAATAACTATTATTGTTATTGTCAGTACTATTTGCTATTCTGACTGGGAGGCAACTAATGAGGAACCTATTTCAGTAATGTAAATAATAATCATGATGGTCAAGAAGAGGTAAAGGTTAAGCACAGAGATTGTGAGAAGATAAGGAATGTCATTTTTATGTATTTTTTGCATCTGGGGGAAAGAATATCAGGAATAATGGACTTTCAGGAAAGAATGAATTTTTTTCTCAAGTAAAAAAGTTGTCTTCCAATTAAGGATTCCTTGCACAACAGAAGTCAGAAAAGGGGACAGGTAGATGGGCTTTGGGTTTAGGAAAGAAGGACACAAAGTGAACTACATAGAACTGAGACATGTGATCAAGGCCAAGAGACATAGGTTTGGATAAGAGAATTGATGGAGGATGCCACTAAGTAAAATTTAATAAATAATCATTACAATGACGATGACCCCCATTCTTTTGGTGGTACTGGGGTTTGAACTCAAGCCCTTCAGCTTGCTAGGCAGCACTCTGCCAGTTGAGTTAGGCCACTAGCCCTCTTTGCTTTAGTTATTTTTCAGATAGATGCTCACATTTTTGTCCCAGCGGGTCTTCACTGTGATCCTCCTACGTAGGCATTCTACATAGTTGGGATTATAGGTGTGAACCAGCACAGTCAGCATTTGTTGTTGGAATATTGCTAACTTTCTGCCTGGGCTAGCCTTGAATTGTGATCCTCCTGATCTCTGCCTCCTCAGTGGCTTGGATTATGGGCACAAGCCACTGTGCCAGGACCTCCGTTTTGTTTTTTAATACATAATTAATCTTCTCCCTCTTTGCCCACAGTGCCAAAAAAAATTCACCTTTTTACTAGTATATAATAGTTGTACACAGGGTATGCATTCTGATATTTATATATCTGATTATAATGTAGTTTAGTTGCTTTGACCTCCTTTATCATTCTCCCTCCTCTCCCTATCCCCATTCTTAGGACAATTTCGACAGATTTTGTTCTTTTATTTTCGTATAAGAATACATCCACCATATTTACCCTCATTCACCCTTTCGTTATACCCACCACCCATCCACTGTAGCCTACCCCTAGAAAAGATCTCGCAGAATCGTTAAAAAAATTTTTTTCTCTTTAAGTGATTTTTTAAATTGTTGTGCTGGGGGTACATTGTGGCATTTACAAAAGTTCTTGAAATTTGACCAATTTATCATACTTGAATTCACTCCCTCCAACATTCTCCTACATCCCCTTTTAATTTCAAAGTTTCTCTAAGTCCTTGCTCCTAACTGTCCTGTTAATTTTTTGTGACTGAATTAGGCCTTTCTATTTACTGTTTGACAGGCAAAAACGCAGGCATTTCCTAAATTCCTTGTTCTTTAAACTGGCAAATGTGTTGTGTACAATGAGTAAATTAGTATGTGCATTTTCTCTGTGCTGAATGTTTGATATATATTCTTATCTTAGCAATTACAGGGTAAATTCCTTG